CTTTTTTCACGAGACACCTTCTGTTGCAGCCGACCCATCCATTGTTGTCGATGCTTCGCCATCTTCTGAATTTGGCCCTTAAGCAGCAGTCCCTAGTGCAGCCTCCACAATTGTTAATCAGGTAAGCTTTCTCAACCCTCCATCCTTTTCTACCTCAGTCCCTGATCTTGTCCCTTCCCCTGTTTCCCCGATAGGTGACTCATCCTCGACACCATTAGCTCATCTTTCACCCTCATCTAATTCCACCTCTAGCCCTTCTTTCAATCTTGAACCTGCATCCACCAGAACCTTGCCTTCCTCTCCTATCACACAACCAACACCTAGCCATTCCCAGGCCAGTGCCATTTCTCCCCACTCCGACTCACCTCACAACTCGCCTCCAGCACCAAACTCGCCTCCTATCCCTTCTCGGACTCATGGCATGACTACTAGATCTCAACACAATATTTTCAAACCCAAAACCTTATTCACTGCAACTAAACATCCCATTGATCCACCCTTAGAGCCCACTTGTGTCAGTCAAGCTTTGAAACATCCTCAATGGCGTTAGGCTATGTCTGATGAGTTTAATGCTTTGGTTCACCAAGGCACTTGGGAGTTGGTTCCACCTAATGCCCATCAACATGTGATTAGCTGCAAATGGGTATTCCGGGTTAAACGGAATAAGGAAGGCAGGGTTGAACGGTTTAAAGCTCGTCTTGTGGCTAAAGGATTTCATCAAAGGCTTGATTTTGATTACTTTAACACTTTTAGACCTATTATTAAACCTGTTACTATTCGGGTTGTTCTCTCTTTGGCAATCACTCAGAAATGGTCTATTCGGCAATTAGATGTTAACAATGCTTTTCTCCATGGAAAGCTTGAGGAAGACTTGTTTATGGCTCAACCACCCGGGTTCATTGATGCTAGTCTACCTCTGCATGTTTGCCGGCTTCGGAAGTCTATCTATGGCCTCAAACAGGCTCCTCGCACATGGTTTCAAGAGTTGAAAAGCTTTTTACTCTCTTATGGGTTCTAGAATTCTCGCTCAAATACATCTCTTTTTATCTATCGCAATGGGTCTTATTGCTTATACTTTCTGGTTTATGTCGATGATATCATTGTGACCGGCAGCAATCCACAGTTGATTGATTCTTTGATTCAATTGATAAGCAATACATTCTCTATCAAAGACCTTGGTTACCTTACTTATTTTTTGGGAGTTAATGCTATTTTCACTCCTGCAGGCCTTTTTCTTTCCCAGGCTCAATATATTCGTGACCTACTAGATAAGTTTGGCATGGCTGAGGCTAAACCAGTCTCCTCCCTAATGGCTACAACTCCTTTTCAATTGCACCAAGGGCTCAAACTCTCGGATCCTTCTCCATATCGGCGTCTTGTTGGCTCATTGCAGTATCTTAATCTCACAAGACCGGACATTACTTTTGCAGTTAATCGTCTTTCTCAGTTTCTCCATGCACCTTCTGATGTCCATATGCAAGCTGCCAAGTGTGTTCTTCGCTATCTCAAGGGCTCTATTTTTCATGGTCTTCTTCTGCACCGGCAGCCTCTGTCCCCTTTCCATGCCTTTTCCGACTCTGATTGGGCCGGTGACAAGTATACCCTTCAGTCAACCACTGGCTATATTGTGTTCTTGGGTAGCAATCCGATCTCTTGGAAGGCTTGTAAACAGAAAACGGTTGCCCGCAGCTCAACAGAGGTTGAGTATCGTGCTCTAGCTACTGTATCCTCTAAAGTTATGTGGGTTTGCCATCTTCTTCGTGAGTTGGGGCATCCTGTTTCTTCTCCTCCAGCGGTGTACTGTGACAATGTTGGTGCTACTCATCTTAGTAGCAATCCAGTCATGCACACTCGTATGAAACATATTGCCATTGATCTTCATTTTGTCCATGAGTTGGTGGATCGAAAGCTTCTACGGGTCAGTCACATCTCTACTGTTGATCAGCTAGCTGATGGTTTTACCAAGCCTTTATCCTTGTGGTAGTTCTCTCAGCTGAAATCCAAGATTGGCGTTACCGATGGTAGCTCCATCTTGCGGGGCATGTTATGGAAACACTTCCTGTCAACACAGCTCATGAATCTGGCTCGTGAATCTGCACTAATTACAGCAAATATAATCAGCATTATATGCAGGATATCAATCACACTTATTTGTATATATTTTCTATTATTGTATATCTTTAATTTCCATAAATAACTGCAGACCTTGTGTATATAGGATACTCAATTCTGTGAATAAGATATATCAGTTTCATTCTCAAGTTTCTGTCTTAATAAAAAGTTGTTTGATATATTTGAGTTTGTCTAACTTGTACCTAATGGTGTACGTTAAAAATATATTAAATGTATTTTTGGTAATAAATTTATATTAAAAAATAAAAATTAATTTTTAATTTATTAA